TGATATTGGATGGGAAGGTTCTGGTGGCATGCCAGAACGGTCACCACTAATTTGTCTTTGAATTCTTCCACACGAACGTTTGGAAGATTTATTCTGATATAACACAAATATACAAATATCCAAAAGTAGCACCAATGGGGAATTAAAGCCAGGAACAAGAGATGAAGGAACAGCAAGGAACCAGGAGCTAGAAGTTAGAAGCCCTCTACTGTTTGCGCAGGGCTATTTATACTGAGAAAGAGAACACAAAGACAAACCAACAAAGAAGTGTTTTGTATAAGGCACCCAAAAATTTTTTTGATGACTTAACGGGGAGCGTGCAACAGAATCGTCCGGGAGTGGCGCCGTCGCGCGCGGTTACTTGCGCGGCGCCGTAATGCGGCACTTTTTGGATGGGCGCGGCAACTTAGACTTGTCGATTGGAGCGACAGATTTGCTGCGGTCCACATTAACTCTTTTGGCCGTAGCGCATGGGAACGATTCTCTTGCTGCACAGAGTCATCCAGAAGTTCCTTTGAGCACGGTGCGTGGTAGGAACAAGAACTAGACATTACAGCACTAACTAGTATATAAGTTTTATGGTTTGGTGTATGCAATCGTTGAATTGCAACCTTATAACTTGACATTTGATTCAGTTGTCAGCGTAGCTTAGAATTGCTGATGTTGTTTTTTCCAGTTCCTTTCATGATCTGTGACTATGATCCTTATGATTCGCTTCAGACTCGAATAGAGAAGACCAATTTTTCTCAAGAACAGAAGAAGAAGAAGAGAAAAAGCCTGAAGGTAAAGTTGATACGAGTGCTAGGTGGATGGTTTTCGTCTCTTTGATAATTTTGCCTACTTTGGGCCTGTCTATCTAGATATCTGATATCATTTTGTCCTTTTCTCTTTACGAGCCGCTTCTGCTTTAGATTCTAGAGGATATTGGAGAGCTCGGTGGTCAAATAGATGGAGATGATGAACAAGGTGCAGGATTCGTAGCCTGCAGTTGCTAATGTCTGAAATAAAACACGTGATAACCGTAAGGTAAAGTTGCATTGTCTTCCACGCATATTGGGTATCTTAAAAACTTCTTGCGTGTGGTAGGTGTGATATCCACAATTAGTCTGTGCGCTCTTGTCTTGCCTCCCCAATTACATTTTCTTTGCCATCCCACGTGAATTGTTATATCCCGGGAGCAATATTGACAAAACTGTCGATCTCAACTTCTTCATAGTAAGTGTCGTAATGCATAGTAATGAAATCCCTGCGTAAGGACAAAGAGCACCAGTGAATGCATTTGCATTTCGCTGCAAACCATAGCTGTTTTGAAAACATG